CCCCCCCGCCGGCTGCCGCGGCGGCCAGGGGTCTGGTCGGGGTAGGGGGTCCCCCACCCGGGGACTGGGGCATCCCCGGCGCAGCGGAGAGGCGCGGAGCCCGCGGGGGGCGTCGATTGCGCTGCAGCACTCGCCGGCTGAACGGCGTGGGTAGGCAGGCGGTGCGGCACCGGGGCGCCCCGAGGGCAGGGCGCCCCGACTTCTCCCCGGGGGAACCCCAACCCGGAGGGGCGCCCAGAGCAGGCGCGCCCCCAGTCGCGCCGTACCCCGCGCACCCCACTTCTTGACAAACTTTTCTGACGCCCTCGCCCGTGAGGGTCGTAGTGAACATCTGGGCTGCCCACCGGGTCCCCGACCTCCCGGACCCTAGCCACGCTGACCTCCTGCCTCTTGCAGCCTCAGTGGCGACCTCTCCAGGCCGGGCCGGGCACCGCACGCGAGGCGAGCGCGGCAACCACAGACGCTCTCCAAAGGCTTCCGCGCCCCCCGGGGCACCCGGGCGGGGTAATGCCCTCGGTGATGGAGAAGCCCACTGCGGGCTCCGGGATCCTGTCCCGAAGCCGGGCCAAGACGGCGCCCAACGGCGGACAGACGCACTCGGAGGATGACAGCAGCGAGGAGGAGCACTCGCACGGTGAGCCCGGCGGCCTAGGGTTAAAGGCGCGCTGGCCCGGGGAGGGGGCGCGGAGGGGAGGCGGAGAAGTGTTGCGGACCCTAAATGGTTTCTGCTCCTCCTGGATTGCAGCCTCTGCATTCTCCCTCATGCCTGGGGCTGCCGGCACAGGGAATCTAGAGGTTGGGCCCCTGGCTGCCCTCCTCCACCCTGCCCCTCAGTCTCTGAGGGAAATAGGGTGCCTCCTTTGCACGGATTGGGTCCCCCATACCTTGCCACCTTGCAGGGGGACTGAGGTCAGACTGAGGCAGGGTCTAGAAAGATACCTCCATGCGGAGCTGTGAGGCTCATGTGGTGGGGAGGAGCTCCGGGTTCCCAGCAAGGCTGTGGTCCAGGTCTAGGGGATGCCCTCCAAGCCCCTACCCCCAGCCAGAACAAAGCACTTTGCTTTGGCCTGGGCTTTGAAACTGCCCTCTTAACCTCTCCCCTCCCCCCATGGCCGTGACTAGGCAGGGTCTCCCAGTCCCTTCTGTGGGAGAGTAGCTGGGGGTGGGGGGTGGAGAAGGATCTCCATGGGGGTAAAAGTGAGTCTTCTGGAAGGATGGGGATCCTGGGTGGTAGGGAAGAACTCCTGGCCAGCTAGCTACCTCTCCTGGCACATCCACCCTCCTTTTCTCCCTGGAGTCCTGACTGCCTCCCCCTGGCTCCACAGACAGCATGATCCGCGTTGGAACCAATTACCAGGCAGTAATTCCGGAGTGCAAGCCTGGTGAGTGGCAGGACTGGCAGTGATGGGAGGGGGTGGAGGCCAATGGCTTGGCCTGCAGCCCCACCTGGGGAGTCATTAGCTGGCTCCTGCTTGAGGGACAGGCCAGTGGGCGGGGTGGGTGGCCCTGTGGCATGGTTAGTTTTCCTGCTCTGTCTTCCTGTCTGAGTCTCTCTGCTCCTCCTTCCCTTCTGGGCCTCACCTACCAGCAGGACTCTGCTGCCCTGTGGCCTCCTGGATAAGCTTAAGCTTTCTGCTCCTCTGCTTTTCAGAGAGCCCTGCGCGCTACAGCAACAAGGAGCTGAAGGGAATGCTGGTGTGGTCGCCCAACCACTGTGTGTCAGATGCCAAGCGTGAGTGGGGTGGGCTCCCGTCCAGGCTCTACCCTGGGAGTGGGGCTAGAGCTCCTCTTATCCCGAGGCCAACTCTTTGCACAAGTGGACTGCTGCAGTCTCACCTACAGAAGGAGCATTGCCTCAACCCAGGAGCTCCAGACCAGCAATGTGAAAGAAGGGGCTGGTGGCTGATGAGTGGTCCTCCTCCTCCCCAGGGGTGGCTTATCCTCTCTGCCCCCCTCCTCTAAGACCCCACTCCTTCCCCTGCAGTTGACAAGTACATTGCAATGGCCAAGGAAAAGCATGGTTACAACATTGAGCAGGTGGGCTAAGGTCTTGAGGGGTGGGTTTGGGACGGGACAGTACAGTGCTGGGGTGGCAGAATCTGAGCTGCTCTGGTCCTGGGCCAGGCGCTGGGCATGCTTCTGTGGCATAAACACGACGTGGAGAAGTCACTGGCGGATTTAGCCAACTTCACCCCTTTCCCTGACGAGTGGACGGTGGAGGACAAGGTGCTATTTGAACAAGCCTTTGGATTCCATGGCAAGTGCTTCCAGAGGATCCAGCAGATGGTAAAGCCCTGTCCCTGGCCTGACCATCCTCAGCCCCTCCATCCTGACCAGCTTATCTGGGGCCCATAGTCTCAGGTGTAGCCCCACCTTTGGCTTTGCCTCCCCAGCTACCGGACAAGCTGATTCCAAGCCTAGTGAAATATTACTACTCTTGGAAGAAGACACGCAGCCGGACTAGTGTGATGGACAGGCAGGCACGGCGGCTGGGTGGCCGGAAGGACAAAGAAGACAGGTGGGCGCATGGGTCAGTAGCATGTAGGGCTGGAAGTACTCTGGGTTGGGCCTCAACTCATTCTCTCCTTGGCCCTGTGTAAGCAGTGATGAGCTTGAAGAGGGACGAGGAACCGTGAGCGAGGGAGAGCCAGATGCTGGAGACCCCAAGAGAGAGGTGAGGTTCCTCCCTGGCTGCTCTGCTCTGCCCACTGCCCACCTTTCCGTAGGCCCTGCAAACATCACATGTCCCTTCTTCCCCTATAGCCTCTGCCATCTCGGCCTCTGAATGCTCGGCCAGGTCCTGGGAAGAAGGAGATCCAGGTGTCTCAGTACCGCCACCACCCACTGCGAACTCGGAGACGCCCACCCAAGGGCATGTACCTGAGTCCTGAGGGCCTCACTGCAGTGTCAGGAAGCCCAGACCTTGCCAACCTCACACTCCGAGGTCTCGACTCACAGCTCATCTCCCTTAAGCGACAGGTGGGGGCCCAAGGAAAGGGGACCATGCAGAGGGGACCATCAGCTCCTGAGAACTGTTTTGGGGGCAACTGAGGTATAAGGCAAATGGTGCAGGCGCCATGCCTGGCTCTGCCTCACTGTCTGGGACTCAGGTTAAGTTGGCATTCTTTTCTGGGTCTTTTATTATTTATTTGTGTGTGTCTGTGTGTGTAGGTGTGCATGTGATGTGTGTGGGCAGATGTGTGCAGTGATACTTGAGGTCAGAGGACAACTTCACGGAATCTGCTCCTCGTCACTCTTATGTGAGTTCTGGGGATCAAATTCAGGTCATCAGGCATGTGTGATAAGCACTTTTACCTGCTGAACCATTTCCACAGCTCCACAGTCCCCTGGCCTTTTTTCTCTCTTTCTTTCTTTTTTTTGACAGGGTCTTGTAGCCCAGGCCAGCTTCAAACTCACTATGTACACTATGTAGTAGAGGATAAGACTGAGTTTCCGACTCACCTGCCTCCACCTCCCAAATGCTGGATATACATGCATGTACCACCCCACCCAGTTTACGAGGTACTGGGGATCATGCATGCTGGGCAAACACTTTACCAACTGAGCTATGGCTCCAGTTCTACTAGGTCTTAAATACGGAGGATCAGGAATTTAGGCCATCCTTGACTACATAGCAAGCTTAAGGCTAGTTTGGGATACATGAGACTTGTCTCATTTATTTATTTTATTTGTGTGTGTGTGTGTGTGTGTGTGTGTGTGAGAGAGAGAGAGAGAGAGAGAGAGAGAGAGAGAGAGAGAGCAGCATCTCCATTGTCAGGAAAATGTGCTTGCTTGATTTGGTTCTCTCCTACCATGTAGATAGAACATATTCTGTTCCCTGGGATAGAATTCAGGTCTTCAGATTTGGTGGCAAGTGCCTTTACCCACTGGGCCACCAGTCCTCTAATTTTTAAAAAGGCTGGGTTCTGTGGTATGTGCCTGTAATCCGAGCACTTGGGAAGTGGAGGCAGGAGGATCGTAAGTTTGAGGTCAGCCTGGGCTATGGGAGCCCTCCTCTAAAGAAGCAAAGGGAGGGGGAAAAAGAAGAAAAGGCCTGCCAGCATGGGAGAATCCCCAGTAGCTCCCTAGCAAGAGGCTGTGAGGAGGGAATGGGCTGCATGCTGCACCATAGACTACTGGGAAAGTTGGACTGGTGTCTGTAGAGAAATAGGGCCTGGGGTGAGGGTGGGGGATGTTGGCCTTCCTGGGTGCAGAGTTCCATGTTCCTTTCTCCTTCCCCCTTTTTTAGGTACAAAGCATGAAGCAGACCAATAGCAGCCTCCGCCAAGCACTAGAGGGTGGTATCGATCCACTCCGCCCCCCTGAGGTAAGGGTGCTCTGTAACTTTTGGTGCAAAAGGGGGTTCTCTGGGAGCAGGGCTTCCATATACATTCAAATATTTTTTCCCGTGTGTGTGCGTGTGTGTGTGTGTGTGTGTGTGTGTGTGTGTGTGTGTGTGTGAACTGCCATGGGCTTATGTGTGGCCAGCGGACAGCTTGTGGGAGTTGCTTCTCTTGTCGCACCCTGGAGATTGAACTCAGGTCATCAGGCTTGGGGGTGGATACCTTTCTTTACCCATTAAGCCATTTCCCTGGCCCCCACATACTATATTTTTGAGTATAAAGGTTATTTATATTCCTTGTTCTCCAGGCCAATACCAAGTTCAACTCCCGCTGGACCACAGATGAGCAGCTTTTGGCTGTACAAGGTGGGTTAGACCATGGCCAGAACTGAGAATCCCAGAGCTCTTTTACCTTCCCAGGAGCTAAGGATGGTGGGGAAGGGTCAGGGAAGTAGTTCTGAGGGGTATTTAACACTCTGCTGCCCTTTTGACCCTTGCAGCCATCCGTAGATATGGCAAAGACTTTGGGGCTATTGCAGAGGTGATTGGGAACAAGACTCTGACGCAAGTGAAGACCTTCTTCGTGAGTTACCGACGCCGATTCAACCTGGAAGAGGTGCTGCAGGAATGGGAGGCTGAGCAGGATGGGACCCCTGCGGCCCCAGTCCCCATGGAGGAGGCCAGGCGAGGGGCTCCTGTGCCAGTGACAGCCCCAGCCCTAGAGGAAGATGATGAGGTGAGTGCTGGAGCCCTCAGGAAAGGAGCAGAAGCTCCAAGGCTCCAAGAGCCGTCTTCTCAACTCTTTTCTCTCCCCTCAGGTCCAGATTACATCTGTGTCAACATCTGCACCCAGATCAGTACCCCCTGTGCCACCCCCGCCTCCACCACCCACCTCGCTGTCCCAGCCCCCTCCTCTGCTGAGGCCACCTCTACCTACGGCTCCCACTCTGCTCCGCCAGCCACCCCCCTTGCAGCAGGGCCGCTTCCTGCAGCCCCGCCTCGCCCCCAACCAGCCCCCACCACCTCTCATCCGCCCTGCCCTGGCTGCCTCTCGCCACAGTGCCCGACCTGGCCCTCAGCCTCCACCCACCCTGATTGGACCCCCCTTGGAACCCCCAGCACCCTCACTCTGAGCTCTGGGCCTTCCACCACCCAGAGGCTCCTGAACCCCTTTGCTGGGTATCTCTGGCATCACTGAGGACAGAAGGGACTAGGGCTTTTGCCAGGTCTTTCAAAGACCCAGAGTTGCCAGTTGGCACAGCCTGGACCTGTGGGTTCTGCATGTGTTCCTGGCAGCTGAGCTTGTCAACCCCCTAGCCAGGGGCTGGTGCTTGGGGCCTACAGGGACTGGAATGGCTGCCTCCTTGCCTGCCTGCTGGGGGCTTGGCCTTTGAGCCAGCCCTTTTTGTGTAGGGGTAGTGACCTTAGCATGGGGGATGGGGGGAGAGGACAGTTGGGGTGATGGCTGGCCTCACTCACCTTTTCCTCCTTTTAGCAATAAGTCAGGTGCAGTGGGGAGGGGGAGTGGGACTGGCAGAGGCCTGGTGGGAAGAATGTTGAGAAGCTGTGAGAGGGGCCCACTTTGCCCACCCCAGAAAATCTTGGAGAAGGGGGGAGGGTTGGGAAGTTATGCAGACATGGGTTTATTTTTCAACGTTTTTAAAAAAGAAATAAATGCAACCTCAATGTACCCAGGCTTCTTCCTGTGTGTGCCCAAGGTGGGAGGGAGCTGGCCACCCAGCACTGGCCTGCCTCCCCCAGGACCCAGACAGAAATCAGTTTTCTCCTGCTAGGCAGGCGGGCAAGCTGGCTGGCTGGGCCACATCTTGCCCAGGGGGGACTGAGTCCCTGCCCGGCTGGGAGAAGAAACAGGAGGAGGCAGCTCAGATTCCAAACATTCTCTTTATTACGTGTTTGATCCAGAGGAGAAACTAAGTGCAGGGTGGGGGAGGAGGGGGCTAGGCTGGGAGGGGCCACCTTGCCTGGGTGCCCCGGCCCCCACCCCCCTCGGGAGCCAAGCCGTGCCCTCCTGCCTCCTTGGAGCACCCGGGCTGTTCCTTAGGGCAGGAGGGGAAGGGAGGAGGAGCCCTTGGTCTGAGCCGGAGCCAGTGGAGCACGGGGCTAGAGGGCTGAGGTTGGCGAGGCCCCTTCCTGGAACCCAGGGACTGGCCATGTGGCTGAGCCAGGCCTGGGGGCCTAGGTGCTGAACGAGGGGGTGGAGTCATCATAAATCAAAAAAATAAAAATAAGATAAAAAATAAAACCCATCACAAAAAAAAAAAATGTACAACTCAGGTGAGGACAGGGGCAGCCTCTGTAGGACTCCCCCGATTTCTCAAGAACTGAAACAGCAGAGAAATAAATTAAGGGATGCAGTGGCCGCCACCAGCCCAGCGCCCGTGGCCACCACTCACGCTGGCTGGAGGTTGGCAAGCGGGGAGTCCCTCCGCCCAGCTGTCCCCCACCCCACGAAGGGCAGGGGCTCCCGGCCATGCCGCCCGTCCAGCCTTCCGCCAGGCGGCCGCGGAGGCCCTGGGCAGTCTCCTGAGAGGAGGGGCGACAGTGTCAGGAAGAAAAGGCAAGGCTGAGAGATGAGTGGTGCCCAGATTAATGCCAATGGAGGGGAAGCGGTGGGGAGCGGCGAGGGGCTGTGCTTCCAGACAAAGACTCCTGGCCAACCCGGCCGAGGAGCCGCGTCCTCCCCTCTGCAGCCCTGGGGTCAGCCCCGCCTTCCACCGGAGGGAGGGCGGGAAAAGATGGCACAGACTTGAGGAGGGGAACCAACGTCCCCACAGCAGCTCGTGGAAGAAAATGCCCAGCTCTGGGGAAGGAGGGCAGAGGATACAGTGTGGAGGGGCCGGGGCCCCGCCCGCCCTGCCAGGGCCTTGCAGGACCCCGCCCGCCCCAGCGCCCAGGCCTGCAGGCCGGCCCAGGGCGGGGAAGGCCACCTCTGGTGGGTCGCTGGGGGGAGGGGGAGAGGGGAGAAGCCCGACGTGGGCCTGGCGGAGGGCCTGCCAGGGAGCTCCACCACTCTTGCCTGAGTTCCAGCCCTGAGCCACCCTCCCGGGAACCCCACAGATCCAGTCTCGACTGTCCCGATGGGGCAGGGAGGAAAGGTGGCCGCTGGGAATTTTTTTTTTCTTTTTTTCTTTTTGGTAATAAAAAATTTCTTGGTTTAGGCGAAATACTCTGTGCAACCGCGGTACCGAGGGGGAGCCCTGCCCCCCCCGCCCCCTCCCCTTCCTTTGCCTCCTGTTGGGGGGAGAGGGGAAGGGGGAACTTCCGGGCAGGGGCGAATGTGAGGGGGGAAAGACCATTCCCATCCCCCACAAACATGGAAGAAACAAACCAGAAGGACCTGGGAGGGGACAAGTGCCAGCAGGGGAGACACCAATCCATCCTGCAGTCTGGCCCGGGGGTGCAGGGCTGACCTCAGCAGCCAAGTCCACAGGTGGTCTCTGCTGCCCCCCTCCTGACAGCCTGTTAAAGCTTCAGCTCGTTGGCTATTTTGGAGGCAATGTTTTTGAAGGCCATGGAGGTGCCCGATATCCGCTTAAACCGAACACCGTTGAGAGACAGCCGGGGCAGTTTGCACACCTCCATCTCCCACTGCACGAAGTTCTCGTGGCCTGGCGTGCCGTGCATGCACAGTAGCATGTATCGCTCGTGCAGCTCGCTCTGGCAGCTGTTCGCGTCCAGCACCTTGCGGATCTCCCGCATCATCTCGTTGGGCTCCATGGAGCTTGTGGTCTTCATACTCCACGTGAAGCGCAGGGAGCGGGGCTTGGCCTCCCGAAACTCTTCCTTTTCTTTGTCATTGCCTCCACTGCCTACCACGTGAGGTCTGTGGAGAGGGTGGAGGCAGGCTAAGCTGGGGGCTGAGGTGCCCCACCCATGGGGGAGCCACCCTGGCAGACAGACCCTGAAGCCGAAGAGGAAAACAGAAGGGAGCACAGTACAGCTGGAAGAGGGAGCACTCAGACCCTGGTCCAGGGGTGGCCCATGGGATGGGAGGAGGGCCTCTGGCTCTGGCCTCTCAGGATGGAGGGGTGAAGAAAAGCCAGCTGGGGTAGGGTGGCAGTTCCATGCTGTTTGTTACTGGCTCTTTTCTTTGCCAGGGCCAGGAGGAGTGCACTCAGGCGCAGAGTAGACTGTCCTCCAGGAAAGAGCTGAGGCAAAGTGCTTGGGGCTAGGAACTTGCAGCCCCAACCCCCAACCCAGGGCTCTGCTTCCACAGTACCCAGGATCTGAGCAGGGCCCAGAACCACTGCTGGTGGGTACGGGAGAGGGAAATTCTCTGAGGAAAGGAAGGCCCCAAGAGGGTGGCAGGGCAGAACCACCAGAGGAAGAGTCAGTGGCAGAGGAGCAGGAGGCTACGGCCAGCCTGGTGGCCTGGGCAGGGCCAGTGCTGGCTCCGGCCCTCTCACCTGAGCGTCTCCACTCGGTCTTTGCTTTCAGGTTCATTCAGGTTCCTCAAAAAACAGAGCGAGGGAGAGTTTAGTGCTGGGATCTCTTGCTCCTTCCACCACTGCAGACCCATTTGAGAGTGGGTCTGGGGACATGCCACCAGTGGGTGGGTAGGACCCAAGCCCAAAAGTCACTTGCCAGGCACCTGTAAGCCAACAGGGCTCTGTAGCACCGGGCACTGGTAGCTTGATTGTCCCTTTCTGACAGGGAGCCCCAGCAGGGGGCTGTCCCTCCCCATACTCCATACTCCCAGAGAGAAGTCCCAGCTCTGGGGGAGGTGGGTGTGGCTGTTCAGCAGCTCCCCCTCCAGCCCACAGCCAGCCTCCAGCTCTCAACTTGGATGGGGGCTGGGAGCAGAATTTTGTGCCAATAATCAGGTGTCAGAATGAAGATATGGAAGTAGAGGCCACACTATCCGTCTCTGTCTGGGAAGAGGGACTGGGAGGCTCGCAGGAGGCTCAAGTGTCAAAACCTGGAGTTGCATGGCAGACACCTGGAGCTTGGTGCCTGCGGCTGGGAAGACAAGTTCACTGTGCTTCTAACTCTCCTACTGCTGGAGGCCAGCCTGGCTGTTCTCACAGGGCAGGGGTTGGGCAAAGGCCTTGGAGAGTGACAAAGCGGTCTGGCCCTGCTGAGCGGCTTCTCCAGCTCCTACCTGGAGGATGGGTGCCTGGAGCTGGGAAACTGGGGACTGCAGGGAAAGGGAGGGACGAGAGGAAGGAGAGAGCAGCAGCAACACATGTAAAAGGAACAGGAAGACACAGACACACAGAGGCCAACAAGTGCACTGCAAGCAGGGCCCGGCTGTGCAAGGGAAAGGGCCCTCCCTGGCTGCTCTCTCCAGGACCCTGTGGGACAGACTCCCAAAGCGGTGCTGTGAGCTGAGGTTGGGTGCGGATGCCTGAAGATCCAATCTGGCCTGTGGAGCCAGTGTGCCTGCCAAGCAAACCAGTGCTCCTAACCTGGCCTTAGGCTGCACTTGGTATTTGGCCTGTAGAGGCCATGGCCAAGCTGAACCAGCCAGGCTCTGGCCCAGGAAGGAAGATGCCTGAGCAAGGCCTCGGACCTCCTGCTGTTTCCACCAGGCCTGGGGACAAAGCGCCTGAGAATACCCAGCTCCTCCTGACTCTCTGGCAGGCACAGGTGACATCTGGAGGAAACAGTCTGGAAGCATGACCATCCAGATGCTGTGCCAGGTGGGCTGGGTCAGTGCTGCAGCACCTGCCAGAAGGGGGTGCTGTGCCCCATCTATGGCTTCCTGGGCCTGGAGGAGTCAGATTAGCCTGGTGTCCCTGTAGTACCTCCAAAGTCCTGTCATGCCACAGACCAGGGGGAGAGGCCACAAAGCCCTCAAGTTCAGCAAGCCCGGGAAACCCCAAATGAGACATCATTCCAAATGCGCTTTAACCCCATGGACCATCCTTGTAGCGCATGCACATGACAGGGGAAAGGGCCAGAAAGGGGACCCAGTGTTGTGACCCAAACCTGGGTGGGTGTGAGGAGACAATCTTAAAGGGAGAGGCCCTGATAAGGTCTCCTCTCTTCTGAGGACATGTGCCTGTGGCCCAAGGAAGGCCCCTCATTTTCCAAGCCATTTGCTGAGGTACCCAAAGTGGCTTCTCAGGGGAACATGTGTTCCAAGCCCTGCCCGTGTGAAGGGGCAGGAAGGCTGGCTTGGGGCTGAGGCTCTGCCAGAGAAGTCTTTATCCCTTTAAGACGGCGGAGAGGAGGGCTACATAGACAGGTCAGCATATGGACAAGTAGCAACAGCCAGAGGAGGGGAGTTAGTGACAGAGGCAGGACACAGACACAGGACAGACACACACACACACATATACACGCACACAGAGCGGGCTCAACGCCTACCTTCTGGCAAACCTGAAAGACAGATTTCTAAAAAAACAAACAAAAAAGACAAAATAAAAAGAGAAATAAAAAACAAAAAAACAAAAACCAACAAGACGGTATGTGGATAAGCAGGTGGGAGTGGGCGTTCCAGGGTCAAGGGTCTCCCCAGTTTTAGAAGAGCCGCTCAGCGAGACGAGATGAGAGTCCTGGACTTCAGGTCTGCTCCCCCCTTCAGCCTCACCCCTGCATGCTGCGGCTTTGGATGGGCAGCTGGCACTGGCTACCCCAGCTGAGTGAAGGGCTAGGCAGCAGGGGTGGGCAGGCCTGCTCTCAAAAGGCCATATGGGCTCTGAGCTGTAACTCCAGGGTGGGGACGGAGAGCATCCCAGAAGGATCCATGGTTGGAGGCACCTTAAGCCTCTGTGGTGAGGGCTTAGGTGTGAGAAGGTGTGAGAAGCTTCCTGAAGATTCCCCACCTGGGTCCAAGCCGGAAAGGCACTGAAACCCTGGAGCTGCAAGAGGCCACATCAGCCCTCGGCAGTTATTTCATTTATGGATTTTGCCCTGGGATCTCCAGGTGGAAGAACATGGTTGCAGTCAGACATAACCAACCTGGAGGTGGGGGTGAGTGGAAGGAGGTCAAAGGGGGCAAGAGTAGAGACTAGGGAAAAATCTTCCTTGTCAACCCAGCCTGGCTCATGCCTCATGACTTTGCAGCTGCGTCACCAAATATAAGTTTCCATGGGAACCCAGGAGAGAAGAGGGGGCTTTTATTTTTGCATCTGAGTTCACACTCCCCTAGAGAGGAGGCGGCATCGCCCATCTGCTTGGGGCCATCAAATGAGGGGTGCCTATGAGGCGCTGGGGGAAGGCCTAAGAGGATGGGTCTGGGCACATAAGGTGATGACAACAACCCAATTTCTTGGTCTTCCTGAGGCCTCCTCTAACGCAGACCCCTCTCAGTTCCAGCGTTCCCACCTCCAACCCCGGCAAGAAGGAAGCCCTGGCCGCTGCCATCCTAAGCTCCCTGCTTACCTGCGGACAAACTTGGAAGTGAACTTGCTGAAGATGCTCCCAGAGGCCCCCCGCCTGCCCTGGCTGTGGCCAGAGGGAGAGGCTGGGGTCACACCATAGGGCAGATTCTGCTGATCCCGCACCTGTCGGAGCTGCCCAGCATGGAACGTGCTTCGACTGGACACACCTCTGGGAAAATTAGTTCGTTCTGGGGCTCCACCACTGCTGCTGATGTTGTGGGCGGAGGGGGAGGCAACAGGAACACGCTGGGGGGCTGTGCTATGGGAAAAAAGGTGGGGAGCAAAGGCAGACCTGAGGTGCAGGAAGTCATCAGCACTGAGCGCCTGCAACACCCCGTGATGGGGACGGGGATGGGGAATGCTAGGACAGAGGCAGCCGCCACGGAGGACACAGAAGGAAGGGGTGACCACTGAGGACAGCAGTGAGAAGTCTCGTGGAGGCAGAGGAGATGGTCTAGGGAGGGGAAAGGGGAAGACAAGGAAGGACCACGTGTGAGCACAGTACAGGCTGCAGAGTTGGCCCTGGACCCTCAAGGGGGCAAAAAGAACCATCTCTCAAGAACTGACTGTCCCTAACGAAAGGAAGGTTCAGCACGAAAACCCTTCCCTGATCTGAGAGAACTGGAGGAAAAGAACGTTACTGTTTTTGTGCCCTCTACTTCCTGGTTGCAGGGGACAGCGCTATTCCTTTGGCTAAGATGACAAGAATGAGGCAAGTCCCCGGGTGGAAAGGGACTGCAGGGCAGGGGTGGGGCACACCAAGGGGAACAGGTGCATCAGCTACCCCAGCACACTTGCCTGGGCCGCGGCACCTCACAGTTACTCTCCGTGGGGGGCAACCCAGAGGCCTTGTTGGGGTGCACGGAGGCCGACATGGATTTCTGGTGCTGGCGGGGCCGGGCCGCAGAGACCGCGGCAGAAGCAGAAGCCGTGGAGGCCCGGGACCCTGGCATGGTTAGGCTAGGAGACAAAAGCAGCGGAGAGGCCTGGGTTAAGGGTGTGAGAGTAAGAGCCTGGGTTAGGAAGCAAGGGCAGGGCCAGGGCCAGAGTCAGAGCTGTAGCCTCAGCAGATGCCGGTCAGGCCCAGGGAGCAGCTAGAGGCCAGTCAGAGCTAAGGACGAGCAATGGGAAGTGGAGGGCAGGGTGAGGAAGCAGCCAGGTAGGCCAGAGCCTGGGAAGAAAAGACCAAAACCAAGGGAAGCCAAAAACTGCATCCAGGCCACACTTGTCTTCTAGGAAATCTACGAGCAAGGACGTCCTTTCTATAGGAAGGACAGGGGTGCCGGGAGGAAACTTTCTTTAAGCACAGAAGAGGTGGAGCCAGGAATGTGACACACCAAGCAAGGCTGTAGGCACGGTGGGGAGCTCCGCTTCCACGGCCACGCTGAAGCCCTCACTGGGGAGCTCCTTAGATGGGCACTCTGGGCTCTGTCCTGAGCCGGAGCCCCAAACACAAAGCCGGAGGTACCTAGAGAGAAGGGCAGCTCTAGGCCTGGCTAAGTCAAGAAGCAAGAAGGCTGAAATGCCCATCAGTGCCCTACCCTTGGCAAATGTCAAGGAGCAGAGGAGGACAGGAGGACGAATGGCATGGAGCAGGGAGGAGTGGATGGCCAGACTGAACAGTGCCAGGACAGGACTCCAGGGAGCAGGAGCAGTGCTCTGGTGGGGCAGAACACGGTGCTACTGACAGACATCACTGTCCACTGTGAGAGAGCGGTGGCTTCCGAGAGCACGGCAGGCAGCCAGGGACTCACCTGTCTTTCCCATTCTGGATGGAGGCCTGGCCAAGGCTGGCCCTGTCCAAAAGTGGCGAGTTCCTGCTTCGGTTTGTGCTGGTGGAAAGGACGCTGTTCTGTGGGAAATGGAGGGTAAGAGCTGTCTCATAGGAAGCCAGTGTTGTTCAGTTATACTCTTCCCCACCACCTCGGTAGGTCCCGCCTAAGCACAATTATAAAAAGGAGCGCCTCCTCTGCAGCCCACTTTCTAGTACGCAGTAGTGCAGGAAAGGGCCAGGCCTCACCCAGGAAGAGCGGAGGACAGGAGAGAGACTGGGGCTGGGTGGTGGTAGTCATGGCTCACCGTGGAGGGGGTAGGGGTGGTCTTCTTCCTCTCCAGGCCAGGCAGGGGGCTGGCAGGCACTTTGGCGGTGCTGCTGGCTTTCCGTCCTGTCTCCCGGTCCTCCTCAGGCCGCTTATTTTCTGCGTTGTTACTCTGAGTCTTCTTAGAGTAGGAATTGGAGGTGGGAATGGCAGGGACAGCTGTGGGGCAAGAGGTGAAACGGGTAAGGCTGGGAGGCCACTGGAAGACCCACTGCAAACTCTCCTACCATCACACTCTCATTCACAGAGGTAGAAGGACATTGGTGACCTGGGCACAGACATGCTATTTATAAAGTAGGTGAACCAGGACAGAAACTGAGCTGTCACCCAAAGCCCGCAGAACTATGATGGCTCTGGAGAGGGTTAGTCCCCACCAAGAATACATACCCTGGTCGCTGGAGCGCCGCTGCTTGGGGTTGGCGGAGACGCTGCGCTGTACCTTGTGGGATGGGGATGGGGCACTGCTGTTGGTCAGATCAGCTGAAGGCCGGGGCTTCAAGGTGATGGTGTCACCTTCCAGCTGCAAGAAGAGAAAACATAGCATCAACGGAGAGCGAGAATGCTGAGGAAATCTGTCCAGACGTACATGCTTCAACATCCGCACACACATCCTTAACTCACATGAGACTTCATCCTACAAGACTAACAGAGACATGATGCTCCTGGAGCATACATGTCACACAAACAGGGACAAAAGACAGTCACAGACCTGCCCTAGAAAGCTATTCTCTCATCGGAGAAGGACACACATGCCAGCACACCCAGAGACACATGGAGAAAAGAACGTGCACATTCAGACTCAGATAACCACCCCTACCACAGAGCAACCTGGGCCCATATCAAGTGCCAAGAAGATACTTCTAAACAGAACTGAGTGGGGCACTGTCACCACCAGGGTGGGAGGCTGTGAGTGCAGGTGGGCACTTACAACCCAAACTAGCAGAAGAATAATTCAACCATAAAGCTTCCAGATCCATAGCCAGGACAGACTGCAGCATGGGGAAACACCCACATACAAAACCCAGAAAGAGGGAACACTCGGATGAGGCTTCCCATAAGACAGATGTAGCTATACACAGAAACTGAGATGGACTCTTCCAGACAGAGACAAAGGATCTCCAGACCAAGACAGAACTTCTAGCCAGGCAACCTCAGCCTACTCTAATCAACACAGCGAGATAGCTCAACTCACTCCCTCAGAGCCTGGCCCTGGCCCAGGCCTTCTTATTCACTGAAGGAGACAGTGAAGGGCCTTACCAGGGCCAAGGCCTCAAGAAGAGAGCACACGTACTTGAGACAGGGGTTTCTGTCCTCAGCAGGTGTTAAGAGGCAGGGCACCACCCACAGCAAGGGTGGCTAGGTCAGGGGATAGGGAGAGGGAACATGTACCTCAGAGCTCTTGTAGCCCAGGAGCAGATAGGTGGCCATCACCTCGTTGTACCTCTGGCCCACCAGTGAGTCCTGGATCTCCTCCCGAGTATAACCCATCGATACCATCAACTCTGGTGGTTGGGGGAGGGAGACACAGTTAAGGCTGGTCTCTACCCACAGGCAGGCTCTAGCTCCCGGCCAGCGTAGCCTCACCTGTCCGTCGGGGGTCCTTGTAGTCAGGGAGTGGCTCCACGTACGGCTTCAGCTCATCGTCCTCATGCCCCACGTTCATCCACCGATCTTTCATGATTTGCTGAGAAGCAGAGGGAAGGGCAAAGTACAGGGGGTGGAAACTCAGCATGGGGGTCCCATGAGAACCCCAGGACTTATGGCCAGCTAGGCTCTAGGCTGCTCACCTCTAAAGTGCCTCTCTTGCTAGGATTAAGAATGAGAAATTTCTTCAGCAGGTTTTCACAGTCAGTGGACATGTAGAACGGAATACGGTATTTTCCCCTCAGTACCCGTTCCCGCAGCTCCTGTGGTCAGAAAATTTAAGTCACCTCCCAGGAAGAAGTCTTATGTCTAAGATCCCGATAAGCAGACCTCATTGAAAAACAGAAAGCGACAGCCTAGGTTAAGACAGCTCACAGTGAGGGGAAGAAGCCCTATATACCATGTACTCATAGACTTGATTAGCCTTAGGCCAACAATCCAGAGTACTTTGGAGGGGTGAACACATCTCTCCAAGATGATGACTGACCCTCTTTTTAATTAATTAATTAATTTTAAATTTTTATTTATTTTTGTTTTGTTTTTGAGAAAGGGTCTCCTTGTAGCCCCTGCTGGTGTCTGGAACTTGCTACATAGACCAGGCTGGCCTTGATCTCACAGTCACCTGCCTCGGCCCCACCACTCAAAGTGCTGGGATTAAAGGCGTGCATCACCACACCTGGCTAAAATTTTATTTATGTATATGCAGAGAAAGAGAGAGAGAGAGTGTGTGTCTGTCTATCTGTCTGTCTGTCACTGTGAAGGCCAGAAGAAAGTACTGGATATCATAGAAATGGAGTTATATGGAGTTATAGGTGGCTGTGAGCCACTTGACATGGGTGGGGTGTCTTCTGGAAGGAACAGCAAGTGTTTTTAACCACTGAGCCACCTCTCCAGCCCCAAGAACCCCTTGGTCAAAGGACAATCTGTGGGAGTCAGTTCTCTTCCCAACCATGTGGGTCCTGGGGATCAAATTCAGCCTTTATCCACCAAACCATCTTGCCAGTTACCCCTCCTTTTTTAAAAGATTTTTTTTATTTTGGTCTTTTTGAGACAGGGTCTCCCTAATAGCCCCAGCTGACCTGGAACTCCCTATGTAGACCAGGCCAGCCTCAAACTCAGGGAGATCCGCCTACCTCTGCCTCCCAAATGCTGGGATTAAAGGCATGTGCCACCATATCCAGCTTTTAAAAGATTTTTAAAAATGAGCATGTGTCTGTAGGAGGAGAATGTGTGTGCACTTGAGTGCAGGTGCCCACAGAGGCCAGAAAAGGATGCTGGATTCCTTAGAGATGATGTTACATGGGTGCTAGGAACTGAACTCAGGTCCTCTGCAAGAGCAGTGTATGCTCGTAACTACTGAGCTGTCTCTCCAGCCTCCCCACCAACACACTTCATTTTGCTTTTGAAATAGGGTCTTGCTTTCAAGATTTTCAGATTTTCCTTCCTCAGCCTCCCTACTTCTGGATTACAGACATCTGCTACCATACCCAGCAGGAAAGACCTTTTAACTTCTCTACTTTCTTGGCAGGCTCTTCTCTGAAGTTTTTGCTTCAGAACAATGTGGACAGATGACAAAGTTGAGAGGGCAGGGATTAGACCAGAGGCCAGGAGGAAAATGGAAATAAAAGTGCCCTGAGCCCGCACTTTACTCCACCTTGAGGTTCTGTCCATCAAAAGGCAGGGATCCGCTGACCAGCGTATAGAGGATGACTCCCAGGCTCCACACATCTACCTCAGGACCATCGTATTTTTTTCCCTGGAAGAGTTCTGGGGCAGCATAAGGGGGACTGCCACAGAAAGTATCCAGCTTGTTCCCAAATGTGAATTCGTTGCTAAAGCCAAAGTCTGCAATCTTGATATTCATATCAGCATCCAAGAGCAGGTTTTCTGCCTGGGAGGTAAAGATGGAGAACATCAGGGCCCCTTATAGACAAGCTTAAGGCACTGGGGCAGGCGGGAGGGGAGTGGGAGAGCCATCAGAAAGTCATCGCTAATCTCAGAATGTTCTCTACCTTCAGGGTAGGCTCAGTCAGCACAGACAGGCTGGAGAAGAGGAAGGCATGAAGGCTACCCTCCACAGGCAGCCAGGAACCCTGGGACTGCACAAAGCTTCAGGGTCAGGCTCACCCACATTTCCTGCTCATGGCTGCAAATACTTTAAGCAACCAGGAGACTCAGGGGTAGCTCTATGTGAGCATCTTGCTAACAGAAGGCTTGTGTGTGTGTGTGTGTATGTGTGTGTGTGTGTGTGTGTGTGTGTGTGTGTGTGTGTATGTGTACACAAAGCGGCTGAAGTGGCAGTGGCACTCTCACACTCTTTCCTAGATCTGTGAGCTGGGAAGAACAAGAAACCTTCGTGCGGTCTGTTGCTACCATGGGAGCCTCAGTCTGGGTACAAAGCCTCTACCAGAGCATTCCTATTGGCTTCCAGGTCATCTTGAGAAAAACAGTGGCAGGAGTTTCCTAAACACTCAAGTGCCTGCAGAAGGGAAGCACCCACAGGAGGTAAGAACACCCCTCACCTTTAGATCTCTATGAACAATAAACTTCTGGTGACAGTACTGCACAGCAGACACTATCTGAAAGGAAGGAAGAAGGGTTAGCTTGGCAGAATGAGCATGGGCCACAGGGCGGCAGAGTTGTCACTAACAACCTACTTTGAAGTTGCCATGCAGATGAGCAGGGCCCAAAGTACCCTCCCTGCAGCCACTCGCTCAGGCAGCTCTTCTGTGTCAGGCCCCAAAGGGGAGCAGCAGGCCCATACCTCAGGGAAGGAGGCAGACCCACCTGGCGGAATTTGGCTCGAGCTTCTTTCTCTTTCATCCTCCCGTGGGCCACCAGGTAATCAAATACCTCTCCTACAAGAGATGGAGTGCAGTGAGCTGCACTGCATGGGCTGGGAGAGAGACATGGGGTACAGTGGCAAGAATCGGCTCCAGACCTACCGCCACTGGCGTACTCCATGACAAGGTAGAGTGTCTTCTCAGTCTCGATCACTTCAAATAACTTAACTGCAAAAGAAAAGGCTGAGCTGGGACTTGGATGGAAACAAAGGCCACACACCAAACCCAGTGTGCCCAGAAGCGTGTGAAGGACCAGAAGGTCTACTCTTATGCTGTCACCGCCCCAGAGAAATCTCCTCTTAAACTACTTAGAGCAGCCCAGGGGCCAGAGTACAGCTGGACTTTGAATGGCTTTGAGTTGGAGGAGGCAGAGTCTTTGACACCCTCCAGGACAGAATCCATAAGGCAATGTGCTGTGGAGAAGGACGCGGAGGCCAGGGGACCCTTGCTGAGGGGAGAAAGAAAAGGGTGACAACTGTTTCTCACCTATGTTGGGATGATTCAAAACCTTCATTATTCTTACTTCTCGGAATAGCTGGAAGAGAAAACACAAGAGGCTGTGTCGTGTCTGCTTAATGGACTCACTTTAGGTCCCTCCAAAGCCCTGTCTCTGCCAGGGGTTTTTGGTTGGTTTTTTTTTGGTCTTTTTGAGACTGTAGCCCCAGCTGTCCTGGAACTCACTATGGAGACCAGGCTGGCCTTGAACTCACAGAGATCTGCCTGCCTCTGCCTCCCGAGTGCTGGGATTAAAGGCTTGTGCCACGGTGCCTGGCATTGGTTGTTTTTATTTTTAAACAAAAAACCAAAACGAAAACCAGACACTCCCTCCACCCCAAAGAAACCCAACCCAAACATGAACCCATGTAGGAAAGGAGAGAAGAGCAGAGGGAGGCTGGAGCAGAGCTGGATTGCTAGCTTGCTATCTAGGCTGCCTCAGCTTTGGACAGCTGGTGGTGCCCTCTTCCACACCCACCCAAATCCAGCCCCAAACAGCAGTCAGGTGCCTCTGCAGGGGAGAGTCAGCCTGGGTCTGCCAGTGTTTAGCAATGAGCTCCTTGGCCAGCTCAGACCAAACCCACCACTGGCTTGGTGACGGGGCTGGTGCTCCAAAGGGCACTCATGTCTTCTGACTGCAGGATGGCAGAGGCTGCCCGGAGGATAGGCTCTTCTCTCCCGGGCCTCTGAAGTGGTGACAGAAGAAGCCACTCCTATATATAGCTGATGCCAATTTTAATCAAATCCACCTCCACACACTCACGCTCTCTTTGTGAAACAAAATCAGGGGCTCCAAACCATACATTTCCATAAAGAAAGATGACAGAAATGAACTCCTTCCCCGTGTGGGGGCCACAGAACAGGAGGTAGGGTTTCCAACTGCCAGGCCTTACCTCTTGTATAAAGAACAGAACTAGTTTCTTTGTATGTGTTTGGTTTTGGAGGGGGTTGTCTGGAGCCCTGATCTAGAAAGTAGTTTAGAAGACAGTGACTATGGTTTTCTCCACTGAATTGTGTTCAGAGCTGTCATGGAGTGGACTGGAAGAGCAGCAGCTGTTTTCAATCTTCAGGAACCTGATTCTGACCCTTACTTTGTCAGGGCCCAGACTTTCCTTGCTCCCTTCCTTCACCCGTGAAAAAGAAAAAGCTCCTGGCAACCAAGAGGGGCAGCCATGGGGAGCAGAGCTGCGCTGATACCCAGCACCGATGGACACCTCAAGCACATCCATTTGGTCTAGAGGGGCAGTATCCCAGGAAAGCCTAGAGTTTTCTGGGTTTGCCTAGAACCCTGAAGAGCCAACGTCTTCAAATGCTCAAACTATAAGAAGCATTGCTAAGGGCTGGAGAGATGGCTCAAAGGTTAAGAGCACTGACTGCTCTTGCAGAGGGCCCGGGTTTGATTCCCAGTACCCACATGGTGGCTACAAACTGCCCTTAACTTCAGTTCCAGGGGAATCCAAAGTCCTCTTCTGACCTCCATGGCACTGCATGACATGGGTCCACTCACATCTTACATGCAGGCAATACACTCATACACATAAAATAAAAATAATAAAATATTTTTTAAAAAAAAAGGGTGTGGTGGCGCATACCTGTAGTCCAAGCACACGGGAGGCAGAGGCAGGTGGATCTCTGTAAGTTCAAGGCCAGCCTGGTCTACATAGTGAGTTCCAGGACAGCTGGGGCTACAGGGAGACCCTGTCTCAAAAAGACGAGAAAAAAAAAAAAAAAAGCATTGCTAAGAGCATATATGTAAACAGAATGATTGGTCAGAATGAGATCAGCCTTAACAAAGTATGTTAAAAGGCTTTAAAAATGGCTATATTTGAGCCGGGTGTGGTGGCACTGCCTTTAATTCCAGCACTTGGGAAGCAGAGGCAGGCAGATCTCTGTGAGTTTCGAGGCCAGTCTGGTCTTCATAGTGAGTTCCAGGCCAACTGGAGCTACAGGGAAACCCTGTCTTAAAAAAGACATTTTTAATGTCTTTAAAAAGGCTGTTTGGGGCTGGAGAGATGGGCCAATGGTTAAGAGCACTTGCTGTTCCTGCAGAGGACCAGGGTTTGGTTCCCAACACCAATATGGCAGCTAACAACTGTCTGGAACTCAAGTCCCAGGGGATCTGACACCCTCTTCTGGCCTCTGTGGGCACTGCATGCATGAGTACACTTGACATGCAGGCAAAAGACTTAAAAATGCATAAAAATTACACATAAAAATTAATAAATTTTGTCTTTTTGGTTGTGAGCCTGAGCCTTTAATGGCTGTGCCAGCTCTCCAGTGGCACACACCTTTAATCCCAGCACTTGGGAGAAGGTGGCAGGCAGATCTCTGTTGCTGGGAGCCCCTGTCTCAAAAACAACAACAAAAAAATTAATAATTTTTTTTTGTCTTTTTGAGACAGGGTCTCTCTGTGGCCCCAGCTGTCCTGGAACTCACTATGTAGACCAGCCTGGCCTTGAACTCACAGAGATCCACCTGCCTCTGCCTCCCGAGTGCTGGGATTAAAAGCGTGCGCTACTACGCCCGGCTAAACTTTTTAAGTGGCTGTATTTTAGCATGAGGGTCGAGGCAGGAAAGCAGGCATTCAAGGCTATCCTCAGGTACATAATGACTTCAAGGTCAGCCTGAGCACATTAGACCATGCCTCAAAAAGACCCAAATCAAACCAAGCAAACAAACAAAAAACAAAAACACTCCCAAACAAAACAATGAAACCAAAGGAAACCAACCAACAAAGAAAAACCTCTTCTTTGTCTGGTATAGGCACTTTCCACTCAAGAACAGGTAGGGAGGAAGAAAGAGGGAGGGAAGAGGATGGCTTGGTTGTCACTGGCAAGGAACGGTGGCTGGCTAGAACGGTCCGAGAACCAGTGGCGCACCTCACGTTGGCTTCACCTGTGCGGGGCTGGTGCTAGTGGATCAGGGGCAGCCCTCCCTCTCTTCCTCCAAGCAGGAGGCCTGATGATGACAACACTCCCATTAAACCCAATGCTCCTGAGAGGACCCTAGGGATAATACAATTTGGGAACTGTTTGTTAGCATGTTAGCTGTTAGTATGTCAGCTGTTAGCATGTCAGGGGAGATCACTCTATCTACTCTCATTCTGAAAGCAACTCCCTGTGTAACAATTTCCAGCCCCCACCCCAATTTTCCCGACATTATTCTAACTGCCTGTTTACACACGGCCATGTCCCTTCAGTTCAGTTACCGTGATGTGCTCATGAAAAGAAAACTCTCTTGGCCACAGCATGAAAAGAACTGGGTCTTGGCTCTGTGAGCCTGGGTCAGCTGGTAGGAGGGCCAGGGAAGCTTGGTTGACCTGGGTGCTGACCTGGGTGGGGCAGCTTTGTGCTGCCAGTCTGGAGGTTCCTTTCCGAGCTACCTTAGTACAGGGTGGTGAGGGCACGGTGCTTCCAGTTCTACTGCCAGTCGCTGCACGACGCCACCTTCCACACCTCAAGGCCTCCTTTACGTTTCCTCACTCATACTGGACTTTTTATTTTCTGTCTTTTTGAGACAGGGTCTCCCTGTAGCTGCAGCTGGCCTAGAATTCATTATGTAGACCAGGCTGGCCTCAAACTCACAGAGGCCTGTCTCTGCCTCCCAAGTGCTGGAATTAAAGGCGTGTGCCACCATGCCCAGCCATGCTGGACTTTTGTCTTTTTTTTTTTTCCCCTTTTTGAGACAGGGTCTCCCTGTAGCCCCAGCTGGCCTGGACTCACTATGTAGATCAGGCTGGCCATGAACTCACAGAAATCCACCTGCCTCTGCCTCCCAAGTGGTGGGTAAAGGCGTGCACCACCACGCCCGGCTCATATCGGACTTTTATAGTTTCTTTGGCACAGAGTTTGTCTCCCTGCTTGGGGGTTCTCCTACAACCTAAGGTAGATTCCAGTTAACAAAGAATAGTTCAACCTCAACTGGCAACAACTCATGCTCACAGAGTGTCCAGCAAGAACACCTAAAATGAGGGAGAAAACTGGGAGTACCTTTAACTTGTGCGCTTTGTCAGGGGCTCAGAACTTGAATCTACCTTCTAAAAACTTCTGTCTTCTAGCCAGGCATGGTGGCGTACGCCTTTGATCCCAGCACTTGGAAGGCAAAGGCAGGAGGATCTCTATGAGATCGGAGGCCAGCCTGGTTTACATAGAGAATTCCAGGCCAACTGGGGCTACAAGGAGACCCTGTCTCAAAAAGACCAAATCAAACAAAAAACAAAACAAAAGTACCTCCTGTCTTCCATATTTACTCTCTGAAATGGAAGCTGGCAAAGGACCCAGGAGCAGGTTCCTGCCTCCTCACCCGGTACTTCTAGAGCCATTCCCCTGGACTGCATGTACCTTGGTGTGTGTATTTCTAGTAATGCTACAAACATGTGTTTCTGCACAGAGCTGGTCATAGGCCAGGTGATAACACAATGTAGGAAGTAGGTCAGACAGGTAGGAAAGTGGCTGGGAAGGGCAGAGACTTCAGAGGAGCAGGAGGCCCACTGACTGGGTCCTGTGGGGCCAGCAGATCACTGACCAGAAGGAAACCTAGAAAGAGATGGAGGTCTGGGGCACTTACTTTCTGAAGGCTGGAGGAGTTCAGCTGTGTCTTGTCAATGATCTTCACAGCGACCTGAACATGAGACAAAACACCCAGGATCAGTTCTTTGGCCGGCTACCCCAGGGCTGACTACCTCTCCACTGCACTTTGTGCTCCTTTGCATCCCTTGGCTCTGAGCACACACATCAGATCTCAGTTCTGCTGATAAAGAAGAGGCTAGCTACAGAAACAGTCTCACCACTGTCTGCTGGCGTGTCACAGGGTGGGAGGAGCTGCCACAGCCCCAACCCCAGCGCTCACCTCTTTCCCCGTCAGGATGTGCCGGGCCAACTTCACCTTGGCGAAGTTACCCTTGCCAATGGTCTTAAGGAGCCGGTAGTTGCCAATATGGGGCTGCTCGTCAGCAGAGGTGGCTGAGTTGCGGCCCCGCAGCATGTTGGACTTACTGCTGGGCTTGGAATCAAGGTGTCCCAAGGTGGGCTGCAGGATGGAAACAAACACGCCTTTACATCTGCCCCTCCCAGTTTTCTCTGCCTCTACCCTCAGCTCTGCAAAAACTCTTAAGCAGCTGGGTGCAGGGCTGGTCGGCATGCAAAGAATCATGAGGCAGGAGGAAAGAGCAGGGGAGGACAGCTGGTGAAGGTCCAGGGCTAAGAGCCTGTGGGTGCCAGAGCTCAGGACCAGGACTGTACTTCACCAGTGCCATTGCCACTCATCCCCATTAGTAATCTATCAGCTTCTCTGCTCCTACTATAGCTGGGAGACCTTGTCTCCCTCGGTCCTATTCACATGGTGAGATGAGAATCCTTCCTTTTGGTCGGAGACAGCATCAAAGTCCGCCTCGCTGCCCAGCCCTTAATATTACCCTCTACTAGTCACTCTTTTTTTTTCTTTCGGCTTTTTGAGACAGGGTTTCCCTGTAGCCCCAGCTGTCCTGGAACTCACTATGTAGACCAGGCTGACCTTGAACTCACAGAGATCCACCTGCCTCTGCCTCCTGAGTCCTGGGACTAAAGGCTTGTGCTACCATACTCAGTTTCTATCCATTCTTTACTGTTTGTCGCTCTTAGTGAGACCGGAAGCCCACAAGGACTGGTGGGGAACCTTCATTCATTGTATTTTCTTTTGTTTTGTTTTTTTTTTTTGGTCTTTTTTGAGACAGGGTCTCCCTATAGCCCCAACTGTCCTGGAACTCGCTATGTAGACCAGGCTGGCCTTGAATCACAGAGATCCACCTGCCTCTGCCTCCTGAGTGCTGGGACTAAAGGTGTGCACCACCATGCCCGGCACATGCCAGTATTAACAGAACTATGGTTAATACTCAGCGAAATCGCTGTCCAAGGAATGAACTGAGTGGCTGGGTCTGAGCAGCACAGCAGCCTGCCCTGCTCTGCGCTCTTCTGATACTCCATAGTGCAAACAAGGTGCCAGGAAGCAGCAGGAGCATCCAGCTCTGCACAGTGTGCATGAACAGTGAACAGACCACCAAAGGGCGTGGTTCTGACAAAAATATGCAAGAAGACTCATAATTTCTCAAAGATTAAGAGACCCAGTAATTCCATTCCTATGTATATGCCCAAGAGGAACATACGTACACACAAAGCCCTAGTGTTCACAGAAGCATAATCCATGATAGCCAGAGGGAAACAACTCAAATGTCTACCAATCAGCAAGCAAATGTGGCATCACGCAATGGAATATTAGTTGGCCATAAAAAGAATGAGGTAATGGGGCTGAAGAGATGGCTCAGCAGTTAAGAATACTGACTGTTCTTGCAGAAGACCTGGGTTTGAATCCCAGGACCCACATGGCAGCTAACTACTGTCCGTAACTCCAGTCTCAGGGGATCCAAAGGCCTCTTCTGTCCTCCACAGGCATTGCACAATATGGGTGCACTTACCTACATCCAGGCAATACACGCATACACATAAAATAGAATAAGGTACTGAGACATACTACAACACCAAAGAACTCTGAAGGGACTAAGTAAAGGAAGCAGGTCACAAAGGGCCATATGACTCCGTTTTAATCAATGTCCAGAATACACAAATCCAGGGGGATGGAACATAGACTTGTGGTTATCCAGGGCTGGAGGGGGTGGCAAGTAAGGGCTATAGGGTTTCTTTGGGGATTAATGAAAATGCTTGAAATCAAATGACACAAACTCTTAAGTTTAATAAAGGCACTCGGCTGGACTTGCAATGGTAGGCTACATGGTAGGTGAATTATATTCCAATGTAACTGCCAAGAGTTCGGACTAACTCCACATTGAGCACTGATTCAACTCTCAGAGAATATCCTGGCACTCTGGAAAGGTGGTGCCACAGTCTGATCCCTGAATGGGCAGGGCTGCCCAAAAGCAAGTAGACAGTCTGGGGGTAGCAGGGTGACCTAAGGTATGTGAGTCAAGTTTCTCCCTCTCAGGGCCCCTCTGTAGTTTTAAGCCTTTAAAAACTACAGTGTTAAAAGCATGACTTCCTTCAGCCCAGGGAACTGTCCAGGGTCCCTTGGCAGAAGTACGCTGGCTCCACAGATACCCTCTTCTCTGCGGTGTTTGTGCAGTAGTTTGGTGCTGGTTTTCTTGAGCTGTTTAACTCAGATTCCAAAAGTCCTTCAGAAGAGAAAAGATCCCATGCACATGGCCGACTTCATCTCACCATTCCGTGTCCCCATGGCTCACTGCTGTTCACTTACCAGTTCTCCACAGCACCAGTTGGACAAGAAGATTCTCAGATGCCCACTTCTCTCTTTTCTTAAGGAACTCTAGGGCTCATATCCTCTGGAGAGAAAGGCAGCTCTATCTCCAACTATGCCTGATGGGCCAGTTTCCTGAAGGATACCCTGAACCCTTCCCTAGGTCTTGAAGACCTGGCTTCTCAGCCCCATCCTCTCTGACAAGCTGCCAGACTTGCTGTGCTCTCCCTATCTTCAGGGAACCAACAACTGTGATCCTTCCTCCTGCCTCAGCTGCCAGTTAGGAAAGTAAAGTTGCCTTGACGACTTTGTGTTGTTTGCGGTGTAGGGGATTGCACCTGAGGTCTCACCGTGCCAAACAAGTGTTCTACTACTCGACCTTCGCCCCTTTCTTGGTGACTTTTATTTATTATTTGTATTTGTATTTTATTTTATGTGTATGTGTGTATTACCTGCATGCAGGTAAGTTACACCCGTTTCGTGCAGTGCCCGTGGAGGACAGAAGAGGCTGTCGGATCCCCTGGGACTGGAGTTACGGAGTTAGCTGCCATGTGGGTCCTGGGATTTGAACCCAGGTCTTCTGTAAGAAAAGCCAGTATTCTTAACCACTGAGCCATCTCTCCAGCCCTCTTGGTGACTTTTAATGTAAGTTTCTTGTCACATTCCTTTTGCCTCAAAGTCTAGAATCGCATTCCAAGCAGATGTAGTGTCGATGTGGGGAGCCCTTTGCTGCTGTGAAGTGCAAGCTAGGATTCTGGGCCAGTCTGAACTCTGCCCAGCCAGCTCCTTCTTGTTTCTGGCTTTGGGTTGTCTGTGTGGCCCAGGCAGCATTCCCTCAGGTTGGGCTATAAGCAGGACTGTAAGCAGTGCACTCAAGGGTGGCATGCCTGCTGTGTGCCTTCTTCCTTATTTGTTAGGGTTAGCCCTGTAGATACCAGAAACAAACTGCCAGAGTTCAGATCCTAACTGCCCCTGAGTTCAGGTTCATTTTATTGCTATCAACATCTTTCTGAAGAGGGAGGTGACATCACCGGGCGGTGGAGGGGGGGAACCACTCCAAGATGACCTTTGTGGGGTTTGTGCGGAGGGGGTTTCCTGGCCCAAAGAATATAATTCAAGTCCTGACTCCTCCTCACCTACTAGCTTTACTTTCCATATCTGTGAAGTGACAATAAAACATTCCCTACTTCTCCCGGGCATGGTGGCGCACGCCTGTGGTCCCAGCACTTGGGAGGCAGAGGCAGGCGGATCTCTGTGAGTTCAAGGCCAGTCTGGTCTATATAGTGAGTTCCAGGACAGCTGGGGCTACAGGGAGACCCTGCTTCAAAAAGACCAAAAAAAAACCCGAACAAACCGTAAAACATTCCCTACCTCTCACGGACACGGACAGATAAGAGAACTGTTTTATCTAATATTCAATAAAGAGCAACCATTGGCTAGCATGGGCTACATAGGAAGTTTAAGGCCAGCCCAGGCTACATAGTGAGATCCTGTGTCTGAAACAACAAGAAGAAGCAACTATCTTGTCAAATCTTCCTGTCACAAACCTGTTCACCTAAGATGAGCCTACTACAACTTCAGACTGACAGAGATGCCACGGGGTCTTCTCAAAGGGACAACTATCTATTCCAAGCCCCTGCTGCCCTCCAGACCTGGTAAATTGCAATCCTTCCTTGGCTGTCGCTGGCCTATCACAGCTACTGTAGGTCAAGACGACGATGCAGGATGGCTATGAAGGACTGGTTACTAGCTGAGTTCCCAGAACAGCGAGGGAGAGACTCCATTTGTTCAGGATCTATGGAGATAAGCCAGTCTTGGTGTCTGTTCTTTGAGCTCCTGTTCCAGTCACCGAACTCTTTTTCATGTCTGAGCCACCAAACTCTTAGGCCATTCCCCAGATAGCACTTCTTGGGCCAAGGTTCAGATGAGGTAAATTCCACCCCCCACCCCACCCCCTGCTGCTGCTGCTTAGAGGTGAGACCATGGGGTGACTATTATATAGAGCTCCCCTTCTAAGGGTCAGACAGGACCATTCATTCTGGCCCCAGATCTTACCAAGAGGGTGGTAGGGCTGAGACCTAGCTGTCCTTCTGTTCCAAAGAAATGGGATCTGGCTAAGCACTGTCCATTCCCCATCCCCAGTCTCCCTGTTCACAGAAGGATTCACAACATCAGACAAGTCCAGAGCTTGGACCCATACCATACTCTAGGCAAGCCCACAGACACCTTGGTGAAAATGGACCCATACCATACTCTAGGCAAGCCCACAGACACCTTGGTGAAAATAGCTCCACGGCTCTCAAGCAGCCTTCAGAGGCTGCTGCCTAAGAGGCCATCCTGCAACCAGAACCAAATGGCAGACCAAGCAAGTTTCGAAGCTGCCCCGACTTAGAAGAAAAGTCAAAACAATTGTGTGGCCAGTGTTCGACAGGAGGCAGAGCAAAGAGAGCCAAAGGCAGAGTCTTACAGCCACTGGATCTGCCAGGCCCTTCAGAACCTGGCCTAGGCAAGTTGCCAGGCTCACCCGGAAGACAGCCTCCACCCCAGAAGCCCAGGCTGACTCAGGCAGGCAATGTCCCCTTCCCTAATGCTGGAGGCTCCTACCAACTGTTCCCAAGAAGCCATGGTCTGGGGCTCAGTGTGGAGGGTTGGCCTCAAGTATCCTGAGGTTTCCCCCAGTTGGGAAGGGGCCAGGCTGGGAGGGGTGCTGGGCAGGTACTCTTTGGCCAAAGGCAAAGTAAACCCAAGGCGGGTGGAGTGAAGAAAGGTGTTCCTGGGCAGCCGCC